CTAACTGCCTCCAGTTGAGAATCTCCCTTGCCTTCCTTAGCTCTGATGAGAGTGACTGATCATCTGATAGCATTCACATGCTGATGTTCTCCCAGTTCCTGCTGCCAGCCTTCAGGAAATCCATCTTTCTTGAAGACAAAGCCACTTGTTAACCAAGTCATCCTTCTAGCTTTGTTTGATCAGGAGCTTTGTCATTTCAGCTAGCAACTCAAAAAAGCTTTCAAGTTCTCCCCAAAAAAACCCTTTCAACAATACTCTCTGTTGGTCACCAGAGTGGGTGCAGTTATAAGGGAGTTCAGGCTGTCCTTAGGCAGACCCTTCTCTAGGGAGCTGAAGGACATTTCAACATTTATTTATTAATTTATTATTTAACACCCCAAAATACAGTTTCCTAAAACAAAATTGCAACTCCCTCTTAAGCATGCAGCTGGCTGCTTCTTCACTGAACCCCGGTGATTCTCTGGCAGGGGCTCCCAGTGTGCAAATTAATCACCCCCTGCTGCCTGCAAGCCTCCCCCCCCCCCCCCCCAGCAGCCTCACATTCAGAAGGTTTGCATCCATGAAGCTGGGCTGCGGCACCTATAGCTCTATAGAGTTCAACTCCCATCAGATCCAACCAACTTATACAATGGCCGGGGATTCTGTAAGTCACAGTTCAACCTCAGCTGGAGACCCTGCAGGTTCTGTAGCCCTCCTTAAAAGCTTCTAAATCAATAACCAAGAAATAATGCTGATTTTCTGTTGCTGAGAATCGGTTCACATGTTGTCAGGGCTAGCTCAAGACAGCTGCGAGTAACTACACCTGTGAGCACTTAGAGGGGGCGATTGTAGCTCTTCCTAGCTGAGCAGGCAGATTTAATTTTTTGGACACTTGCTCCCATCCATGTCTCCTCCTCTGACGCTTCAGTGTTCACACAACCAGCCTATCCACCTTATGTGCAAGTGTGATGCCATTCAATGAGCTCTGTCAAGGTGTCTTGGCAGGCTCAAGTGGGCTTCCTTTCTCTGTGGAGGCGAACAGAGAAGCACTGGAAGTCCTGTGCGCGAAGGGGAGCTTTGCTGACGTCTTAGAAGAATTTACACTCACAGTTGTGAAACAGCACTTATCTTCCCAGTATCAGCTGGTGGAAAGTTGGCCACGTTTCTGCTTTTACACAGAACGGCACTGGTAGCAGAGAGTCCTCTGTTGGAAGGACCGTCTGGACAGAAGGATGGCCCAGTTTGGCTTAAACATGAAGAACCCCAAGAAGGATGAGATGGAACCTGAGGAGAGGGAGGAGACTGAGCAAGGCGCTTGGCCACCGCCTCCTATGCTTTGGTGGAAATATATTTTCTATTTAAATGATAATAATCTTGTCTAAATGTGCATCTACACATACAGGTTAGCCCATTAATAAAAATGCAACATTTACACAAATCAATGTCCTATTTTGATAATGCATATCCCTTTTTTGGGAGGGGGGTTGGCAATCCATAGTATGAACATGGGGTTTTAATCTGTGTCTTCAAATCCAACCACACTCACCTTGGCCAGGAACTCATGGAGTGGCTTTGCACAAATTAACATTTCCCCATCTCATTTAGGAGATGGAAAATGGAGATAACACTGACCTTCCTTCACAAGGTTGTTGATGGTGGATGAAAAAACAAAAGCACTACATAAATGATTAATAATATTCTTCAAGCCTGAGACTCCAAAGCCATATATTCTATACATTAACCTACGTTATTCAGCTTACTTTTAACCAAGAGTAAGAATGAGTAAGGTGAAGTAGAGGCAAGTGAATTAATGGGTCAATTCATCATTGTGATGAATTGATCAACATTTTCAGTTTTAAAGGGAACAAAACCTTTAATTTACCTTGGTGTCACATTAAAAAAACCACCACAGCTAGGCCAATTTCAACTGACTTAGCAAAAAAAGAGTGTATGCTTCACCCTGAATCTCTGAAGACATACCCTAAGGAGTATCTAGTGTGCAATTATATCAGTACCCACAATAAAGTCTCTATAGAGCTTTCTCTATAGAACTTTCTCTATAGAGCTTTCTCTATAGAACATACATTAAAGTCTCTATAGAACATACATTAATTTGTATGTTATTTACTTATGGAAAGCTTTTGCACAGCTGTGCCCACTGCTTCATCAAGGGTCAGACCAACAATCTGAAACCTGGTTCAGAACTTTGCAGACTTCTGCAAAGTCAGTTTTCCTGTCTTTCCTGTACATCTTTCTCCTCCATGCTCATAAAACATGATTCTTTCATGTCACAAAGGCAGACTCTTATGTATGCTTAGACAGCAATAAGGGACTGAAACTCCCAGAATAGCTGAGGATGCTGGGAGTTGTAGGGCTTTTTTAATCTAAACATGTATAGGATTGCCCTTTAAGTACACTTATTTGGAAGACTAATTACAAACAAACAAGTAGTGTTTCCAATGCATAACAATCTTAAACAGTGTAATATAGGAGTAAGATCTATGGGAAATATACATAAAATTAGGGTGAGAAGTTTCTCTGGAGGACTTAGAGGATGCATCAGTTAGGAAACTGGACAGAAACTTTACCATCCTTTTCCCACAAGAAAGAACAGCTCTATAAAACTCCTGGGTCCACCTAGATATAACTAGGTCCAGTGCCACCCAGTTCCTCCAGTTGACAGCTGCACTCTCTACTGGAGGAAAGACATCATAGTCCCTGTGACCAGCCAGATTCTGCCATGTCCTGTCTCTTGGATAATAAGAATTATGGTACATAAGGTACAGGGAGCACATAATGAAATCCACAAGCAGGACAGCGTCAAGAGTAAGCATCGTTAGGCACTTGTCAGGGGCCTAAACCCCATCAGGAACCCAATGAAAGGAGCCGTTTGGATTTGCTCCTTGCCTTCCTCATTGCAAGCTGTTTGTTGACCTGAATCTCACTCCAGTCCAGACATTAGTGGTGGTGAGAAGGAGGGGCATTAAATGCCAGAATTCACTTTCTCACAAGTTCTCCAACTGCGCAATAAGAAGAAAGAGGATGTGGTGCTGTAGAGCTGATGACAATGGAGGTGATAAGGTAGACTCTGTGAGGGAAGAAGGCTATTGTATTCATGGTGCCTCAAGGGCCCGCAAAAGCCTGGAGCCGGCACTATCCCCAGACTCCTCCAGTTTCAGTCAAATCATGCCTCACTTCCATCTTCCTCTCCTAACAGCGCAAGTAAAGAAACTATTACAAAAGTTAAGGGGAAGGCTAGGTCCCTCTGACTGCACTTGCAGACTGCTATCGCTTAGTGTTACCAGTCAAAAGACCTTGCTTTTCTATCTTTTTCTCCATAGTGGAGTTTCTGTGGTAAGGGAAAAAGGAAGACAGAAGAGGTAGGGAAATGTAGGATGGATTCTTGGGAATGATGGCATCATCCGGACCCCTTATAACATTGCATGGATCTGGAAGGGTCCTTAAGCACCACGGAGAGCTCTGAACCATGGTGGACAATTGGACAGACAAGCCAGAGTCAAAATGAAGAGCCAGTGAGTCATACTGAACCATATCCACTGTCTGCTTTTCCAGTGCCAGCCAACCAAAATTAGACAAATTTTGCTCCCTCTTCACTTGTTATCTACAGAAACTCTAAGCTCGTGCTGAAATCCGTGGTGTTTTATAAAACACTTTGCCCTGGTGGAATCTCTTCAGTAGCTCTGAGAAGCTCTCCTAGCTTCTCCCAGTCAGCATCCTTGATGTCAAGGAACAAACTTCTCCCATAGTGAAAATACACGCACGGCTTCTGTCCAGCTATCAGACAGTGATACAGGGGCACTCAGTGCAACCCACTACATAGACCCCACACCCCTGCTGGTTTTCCACCTTATTAGCTGGCTTGCTGCTGTGGTTAATGCTCATTACTGGGTTTGTTTGCCTGGAAAGCAAGTTGTTTACTAGGAAAAGGTGGGGAATTTCCTTGTTGTTTTTAATTTGCAGTTTACAGTTGCCTACTATGAGAAGGGATGGAAGGATTCACTGCCCTGGCCTCACCCTGTTGCCTCACCTGTCCAGGGCCGAGGCTTTGTCACTGGGGCTCCTTGTGCTCAGAAAGGTGGTTCCCTTGCAAGCTTGTTTCCTTATATAATTCTAGGCAACTGCTTCTCCAGCCAATCTGATGAGAGGGTTTTGTTTGGAAAGCAAGTGTGGCTAGGGCTTTCCAACTAGTCTGCACCAGCATCCAGGGAGTGGGAATGTGGGTGGGAAGATCCCATTCCGGGGAGACAGTGGCAGTCAGTGGCAGGTCTTCTATTCTGGGAAGAGACACTAGTCAGTGGGTCACTGGAGGAGGCAACAGGCCAAAAAGTGGGTGACTTGAGAAGGGTCGTAGTTTGGATGGGCTGAGTCAGCTTTTCCATTCTCTTTTCAATGAAGAGCCTTTCAGATTTGGGATGGCTCCATGTCTGAGCTTTAGGCTGTGTACGTCTGAAAACCTTGCCTGTGCACTGAGCCCAAACTGAATCTAGCCTTCTTGTTTTGTGTTTAAATGGACTTTTTCACTCAGTAGGCCTGTGCAGCGGCTCTTCTCACGAATCGCTTCTTTCCTTCCTCCAAGGTTGGGTTTGGTTTAAATCGGGCCTCTGAACAAGGCTGCAAAAGCTGCAAGTTCCCGCGGGTTTCCCGTGGGCTTTAGCTCCCCACCGTAAATTTGCTCCGCTCTGTGCCACCCTTGGTGCCTTGCGGATGAGCTGGACAGCAGGTCCCAGCGCTGCCCAGGCCAACCCGGCCAGGCGAAGCTGCGAGGCACAGAACGGCTTGCTCTGCCCCCCCCCCCCCCCCCCGCCATCTGCGGCTCGCCGGCCAGCACTAGCCAGAGGGAGCCCCCGAGCGAGCGAGCGCACGAAGCCAGCCCGCTCGGCTCCCAGCAGCTGAAGGGTGGGGGAGCGAGGCGGGGAAGCCAGCCAGGGCCGTGACGTCAGGAAACTTTTCCTCAGTGGCTGAGACCAGAGGCAGGAGCCAAAGGAGGCTGCTGCGAGCGGCGCTTTTCTCTCATGCTGCGCGTATGTGCCTCGTACAACTCCGAGCCGCGGGGCGGGCTGACGGCTGCGGCTGCTGCTGCTCCTGCCGCCGCTGCGGCGGCGCTCTCCCCTTCGCCCCGCTCTTCTGCTGACGAGGTAATCCTGCAGCCCCCGGGCGCCCCCGGGGCTACTGCTGAGGCGCCTCGCTCTCCTCCAGCGCCCCTCTGCCCCACCTCGCTGCTCCCCGCGTTGCGCGGAGCGGGCCGGGAGCGCCGCGGAGAACTCGCCGGAACTCTGCCTGGAGTTGGATGCAGGCGCGGCGGGGAGGGGGGGACCCGATGACTTGGCGGCGCCTTCGGAGTGCCTTTATACAGCTGACAGCAGCCGGAGGAGGAGGAAGAGGAGAGGAGGAGGAGGTGGGCGGCGCGCGCGCGGGAGGCAGGGGGCGCGCGCGCGCGAGCTCCGGCGGGTTCGGTCCCTTGACTTTGTTTTCTCCGCGGCAGCAAAAAGGCGGGCGGGCAGGCGGAAAGCTGCCCGGGTCTCCCCGGTGGGGACAAGCGGAGCGCGCCCGTGGCCCGCCGGGGGAAGCCTGTTGAGCGCCGGGCGGCCTCTCGGGGATGCCGCCGAGGGGCGCGGGGAGGCCGCGTGGGACCCGCCCCCCCACAGTGCTTGCTTTCGGCGGAGACGCCCCCGTCGCTCCCCCCCTTGTTGATAGCTCGAAACTTTGGGGCAACGGGGGACGCCGGGAGTTAGAGGCGGCCCAGGGGAGGCAGCGCGGGGGGCCCTGCGGGAGCTCCCCGTTGGGGAAAGCGCTCCCCCGCTCCGCGCCTCCTCCTCCTCCTCCTCTTCCCCCCCTTCCGGCTTTGGCTTGGATCTCTCTTTGCAGAGTCCTGGCCGTGAAACTTCTGGTCCCTCGCCGAGGTTTTTGGCGGCAGTTCTTCCACGGCAGGAGTGTAAGGCGAGGAGCGGTCTCGCTCTAGTTGCCACCGGCGTCCTCTTGGGCTGGTGGCGAAAGTTCCCGTCGAGCTTTTGCTCGCTTTCAGATAATGGGACCGAGAGGCAGAGCGCGCGCGGGTCGCTCCGCACTTTTGTTTCCATCTCGTTCGCAGCTCGGCCGGTTTCCCGCACGAACTGAACCGTTCCGGTCAGCAGCACTCGCGCGAGGCAACCCGTTTCATCCGTATTCAGGCTGCGGTCCATTCGACCGGGGCCCGTCCTCCAGCTGTTTTGGATTACAGCTCCCATCAGCCCCAGCCATCATGGCTGATGATCCGGAAAGCTGGGAGTTGGCGTTCCAAACACCTGGAGCAGGTACCCGGTCGGGGAATGCTGCTGTGGACGCAGGCTTAAGAGTAAGCGCCGTTTAGGCGAAGTACGATGAAATATGCGCAGGAGAACATCGGAGGTGCTGTCTGGTGGAGATAACCGCCGTTTTTGCCCCGTCACCAACTTCGTGCGTGCGCTGGGCTTTGAAAACCTTTCCGTTCTTGGTTTTAGGTGCCCTTGATTTTGGAGCTGTGCCTGCTTCTCAGTTGCAGACACACAGTGGCGTTTTCCAAAGGGTTGGAAGGACGGTAGTAATTATCTAAGGCAGTATGCAGTGGCTTTCTAGTAAATAAATGTGTTGTAGGCTGCAGTCCAATAGGGGAAGCAACTGTCAATCAGGTGGATGTTTTTCTGGCCAAGCTGATCCAGTTAAGAAGACAAGAGGCTTCAGTGCGAGCAGAAGGACAACGGGTGCAAGGGGGGGAAACCTGTTAACAGAATGGAATAACATGCAGTGCTTATGGGGAATTATTTGTGGCAGTAAAATACTTCAATATACGGGAAGGAGTCATTCTTTTTTATACTATTTGGTCATTAGTGCCTCTGAAGAATCAGTGCTGATTTAACATGATTTAGCCTGCAATCCTGTGCTGATTCATTAGAGAGTGAGCTCACTGAACTTATTTCTGAGTGGACAGGCTTGTGTTATGATTGTGCTAAACTTAGCAGGGTGCGTGCAGTCAGTCGGTAGGGCACTGCTGCGGCTCATTTCCCTCAGTAGACTCTTTGATGTGGCTAAGTAGACCAAACAACATTATGTTGACTAGACTGTTTGGGTTTTAATCTGGAATCGATTTACAAAGATATGGTGACTAGCATATCTTCAGCTCTGAGGAATGCCTCCATAAATCTGGCACATGGGTTACACACAGTATGTTTGGCGGGATCTCCCATCTGTGCTGTTGTCTTTACTTTCTAGCAGGTTGTTTGTAGCCTAAATTTTTCAAAGTCTTTGGTGCACACTGAGGGTCTTAGCAAGACAATCACACAGAAAAAAACTGATTTGAAGTCGAATATGGAGTGGGAAAGTTTACTGAGTTCTCAAAATAAGAAAGGGTATGATGAACGATCAGGGGATGGTACAGATATTTGTCATTTGTGGTTCTGTTCAGATGATGTTTGTCTCAGTCAGCCAATGGGTTGCAGTGTCTTAGCACAAAACTGACATGACTATTAGGACTAAAGCACCTGGTCATTTGCAAAGTCGACCTTCTATGCATGCATATGACTTAATTTTGCAAGGCATAAAGGATGGGACAGCAGCATTGGTTTCTTATTTAAGAAGCAATGAATCTGGACTCTGGACTGCAGCAGTGTTCCCAGGACATGGGGTGGTGGGCGAAGGAGACCGCTGAAACACTGGAGACATAGGTTTCTATGACATTTCTTCAACTTAGTCAGTGGCATATGGTGCTTCATGCTTCATCTAGATCCGCTAAAAGAACTCTATAGAACACAATTTAGATCTAATTTTCATGCAAGAAATGAAAGTCGATTTGGAGAGAGAAGGTCGGTTGTGGCCTTGCATTTATTTTCCCACTGAGCTAGAGAAAATGATATACAAACATGCACTGCTATATCTATAAACATCTCCATCTTTATCATTTTAATTCTGAAACTCTTATCTCAGTGATGTTTAGTTTCATGCCCTTGAAGAAGATTCTGTAAGCTCACAAACAGTATTGTGCTGACATGAACAAATGGTCCACGATGAGCCAGTGTAATGATGGTTAGAGTGCTAAATTTGAGGGACCTGGTTTCTAGTCCTTACTGTGCTGTGATGCTCACTGGGTGACTAGGTGAGTCATTGACTTGCAGCCTAAACTACCTGACCAGGTTGTTGTGAGGACATGGGGAGGGAGAGGAGGATGATAAGGTATGTTGTCTTGGGCTCCTCCAGGGAAAGGCAGGATATAAATGTGACAAACATATGTAAGGTAACTGCTGTTCCAAAGAGGGACCACCAGTTGCCTTTGGAAAACCTATGAACAAGGCTGGCACGGATCTCGCAGCATCTGTCTTTGGGTCCAGAACCTACATACAGCTGACATTCTAGTCTCTGCACGATGCTGAAATAATTATGTAGCACCTAATGGAGTTGCTATGCTCACTGATGGGTATTGCTTTAGTTTGCACATCAGAACAAACTGTGATATTTAGTATGCATGTTTTTAGAGTTTTCATAACTATATGTATTTAATGATGGCATTTCTGTTGTGTCTCTAGTAGGAAGTTGAGTGACAGGGACAGCCTTTTGAGGAGATAATATGAGACTGATGACAACTTGTAATGCCAATTTTATTTCACATGCATACAAACTGAGCAGTGGAAGGAGGCAGGCAACCACCAAGAAAATGTTAGCCTGTGAAACAGTGTCCACTAGTTTAAAAGGCTTAGATATGTGTTTTTTGCTGGGTACATTTTAGCTGTTCATTTCTATTGCTCACCTAAACAGGTGAGAATTGTTGTAGCTAGCAGCCACAAGCCACTAAAAAACCAAAACCAAAAACTGTTATTAATGCCCATGAATTCCCATCGATGAGGAAATACCTTTAGCAGTCACATGAGGCTAAATTAACCACACAAAGCTGATTTTCTCACTTGATGCTACTAGAGATGTGAAGGCCAGTGGTGGGGGTGGAGGAACAGAAACATTTCTGGGGGGGAAAGTTCCTTCCATTTTTTCCAGAAACCATTTTGTTCTTTTCCACAAAATTGAACAGTTTTGGATTATGAAATACTTACTTTTCAAATTTAAAACAGGGAGTTTATATATTGTTATCCCTCCTTTACTCTTCACACATGATTTCTAAAAGCTATGTAAACAGGACTGCTTTACAAAGACTACATGTCTGGAAATAATGAAGCCATAAAAATGATGTTTTAAACTTTCCTGTAAGATTTCCAAAACAGTTATTTCTTTTTATTAAAATTGCTGCTTTAATATATTTTTCACTGATAGACATTTAGGGATGTTCCAGTCATGTTCAATTTATTACCATGTGGGTAGAATCACCGTAACACAATATGGAAGAAAATGTGCATTTTTGATGGATAGGATTTGTTCTTCAGGATCCTGTGTTTCTAGGCTCATTCCGCCCAAATGCTGTAGCAGGCAATTAATGTAGTTCTAATCTAAAATCCACATGTCGAAAACTCCGCACTGTAGGTCATCCTGCCAGATGTAATGAAACAGCATGTGTGTTATCCCAGTTACGCTTTTTAAATTAAAATAGAACTCAGTCAAAACTCAGCCCAGTCCATAATCGGCAAAATCACACATGAGATGGAATGTTCCACAGTGAGAATGCTTCTGCCTCCCCTTCACACATTTGAATTTGCCTGGAGGCAATAGGAACGGCAGGCAGGAATGTGTATCTTTGCTTTATAAAATGCAAGTTGAATTTACTAGTCAAATTACTGATGTGGTAGGCTGGATAGATTCAGAAAGTTTCAGCTATGGGTATAGAAATGAAACAAAGAAACAGAGTGAGTCAGAAGGGGTCTCCCGCGCCATCTAGTCTGACCCTGGGCTCCAGCTGACTCTGCTCATGAGATGCGTACCATGTGGATGTCCAGATTTAACCACCTCCCGTGGAAGCCCATTCCATACCCTAGGGGTCCTAACTGTCAGGAAGTACTTCCTGGCATCCCAACTGAACCTTGGTTCCCTGAGTTTGGCTCCACTGGAGCACACCCTGCCCTCCTCCACAGGGGAAAACAGGTCTCTACTCACCTCTGTGTGACACCCCCTCACGTACCTGTATGTCGCCAACAGATTCCCTCTGAGTATCATCCTCTCAAGGCTCATTTCCCTCAGTCTTGCCTCA